GCTCGGGTCCCTGCCGAATTCATCCCGCGTCACCCGTCGGATCTCGGTAACGGTCTTCGCGCATACAGCTGGGGCGTGTGCGGATGTGAAAATTGCTTCCGCATGTTGGGCAGCAAACAACTTTCCAGCTTTTGAAGCGCCGGCCTGGAGAAGGAGAGGTGTCCGTTGTGGGCTCGGATGCACTATGTGCGGCCCAGGAATTGTAAACCACTTGCCCTTGTGGTTTATTTCCCTAACCAGTTCCGGAGACGTGTAAATTCCCTTCTCACGATTGAGCTGCAGCGCATCATCGCGCCATGACGACTGGAAGAGCTTGTACATTATTCTCATATACTCCTCGGCCAGTTCGTACCGTTCATCATGCTATATTCTTAGTATCTCGCTAGAGTAATGTTCACAGGTTTATTGCTTACCCCAATCTGCTCAGTTCGCCCAAGGTTTCTTGCAGCAGAGTCCAAGTAGCTTGTTACGATCTGTTCACGGATAAGTCAACTGCCCACGACATTCACATAAGGTTGACACCATACGTTCCATCCAATCCTATCGTGTCAATAATTAGTACGCATTTAGTATCTAGGTTTGGGGACTGAAATAGCCAATTCAAATTAACATACCTCCCCTTCGTGAGATGATCAACAGTTGACAGCCGTCTAGCAAGATGGTATGGTTGCTCATATGTCGTCGAAACCGTTACGCCAAATCCAATGCTCTTCGTAGCCGCTGCCATAGCCGGGACTACTGCGAGCGGTTCCGTAACGGGCCACTGAGCTCCTGAAATAATTGCCGGATCCAATGACTTCTTGAATACATCGTACCCACCTGCGACAAGAACGGTCATTATCAGTCCTATGGCACGCAGCAATAGCACAGTGTCTCACCGAGAACGTCAGCTATGAAAATTCCGTGAAACTTTGCTTCCTCGAGGAGCTTCGCAAGTTCAACCCAATGCTCAATCTCGTCAAAGCGCGAAGACTGGTCTTCCGGGTGCTGCCAGAGACCAGGAGACTGGTGACCGCTGCCTGTTTATGCATCACCCCTGTCAGCTATTTTCTGATTACTCAAAGAGAACGCCGCCCGGGGGGCAGATATATGTACACATCATGACAAAAGCATTCAAGATGAGTCGCTTCTTCACGCGCGGAGCAGCGGCTGAGGTAGACATGGTGATAGCGCTCTGGAGATCCCGCGAATGATCTGTAATGACGAAGTGGAGGTTGGTTTTGTCGGCTGCAGAAGTTTTCCAAGTCTGTTGTAGAACACCTAGTTTCAATTGAAATGTTCCTGAGTGTTCGTGTCTGTTCAGGGTCTACAAGTGACGCCGTTGAAACGGCTGCAGGCTCCGGTAATCGCTGTCTCACCATGCATAGTGTGGGGGCCTTGGATGGCGTGCGTCAGACGCCCCCACCTACCCGCCTTCCCTCCTTCCCCGCGATACGATCGCGCAATCCTCATCAGGTCTTGCGCCTACTTCCACAACTACTACTCGATGCTGTAATTGGCCATTCTTACCCTCGGCTTCCTTGTGGACTGGCACACCTAGCGTGGAAGCCGGCGAAGTCCGAGCCTACCTTTTTACATACACTAATCCACGATAGTCGGGAATAGTAATCAAGTGGATAGACGGAATTATTCCTGTGTATTAGCTATCGGCATTCGGGAGTTCGGGGCGGGCCACCTTTCAGCTGCCATAAGTGTTAGCTGGCATGAACTATTGGCTTCTCCCTGGGCCCTCGGCATCTAAGCGACTCTACGAAGTAGGGAAACCGGAGATAGATTATAGTGGTGAATCTGCTTTTCATTGCAGTATGAAGTTCATAAATTTTTACATGTATTATATAGGAGCGAGAGACAAGAGTATCCAATAGCTCACGTCCGTTCCTTTCCGTACTCCCCTAGATCACGATAACGTGAGCACAATGGATACAGACTAGAAACTCTTCAGTGCTCACCTTCACGTGCTCCGAAATCCTCGCACCCTTGCCGGGCCGACACCAATCTACTTAGCCTATCATCACAAACAATATTGTTTGTCTCTATGAAACTGTTCCAGAAGCATGGATCAACATCGAGAAAGAGGACAGGGTGCTCTGGGCGACGCTGTGTCTGGGTGTAGATGAAGGAAAACCCAACGGATCTGCACAAAGTCCTGTGCGAGGCGAAGACCACACGACCCTAGCCACCATTGATACAATAGTATTCAAGTAACTCTCTATGGTACGCTCCACCAACTCTCATGTACATCTCTCAAGTCTACCTCCTCACCATGGTTCAAATAAGGCGTCATATCCGACAACGGATCCGCCTCCTTCCTGGTAGACCCGTTCCCGAAATACCACAGGAACCGATTCCCATTCTCAGAGAGATACTCGTACTCCCAATCCTCCCATCTGGGCTCTCGGCGGACGACGGTCAAATGAGCGGCACTTCCTGGCCAAACGCCGTGAATCCGGGAGCCGGGCCGTCCACCATTGTACCACGAACTGCAGCTGTCTGAGAGCACGGTATTGGCGAAAAAGGCGTCAGAGTACTCCACGAAGTCTTCTGTCGCTCTCGAAGAAGGGGTGATTGACTTTATCCCCTCGCGGGAGACTTTGCGCAGAATCTTCGCAAAGTATGCCAGTTGGGTCTCCACGCTGTGAGGGACCGTGCCAGATGGACCGGTTCCATGGGGACCATGGAGAAAAAAGAGGTTCGGGAATCCGGGAGTTGCCACCCCAAGATACGTATAGGGAAATCCAAACTCGCCATCTGGGTCCCAAACATCTCTTAAATCCCTCCCGTTTGCCTTGATGGGCAACGCGGGGACCATGTCCCTATTCGCCCCTGTCGCGCAAAAGATTGCGTCAACGTCTCGTTTTTCGCCGTCAACAGTCTCGATTCCCGAACGCGTGAAACGCTTTATCGCTGTGGAGATGTACTCCACGTTGTCCTCGCAGATCGCTTCCAGATATCCAGGGCCGGGTGTCAGTCTTCGACAGTTCGGGGAGAAATCCGGCACGATTTGGTCTATCAGATGGGGCTTCGTGGCAAGTCGCTCCTTCATGATGTTGGTGAACCGTTCCCTCAGATCGCCATTCTGAGAGCTGCGGAAGAATGTGTCGAATCGCCGCCAATACTTGTCCTCCAACACCTTTCTAAACTTCGTATACACCTCGACATCCTGGAATGAATTCTTTGTTTCCTCTGGTATCGGCTGCGGTTCCAAGGTCCTGTCATCCCCGGCCCATGACGTGGCGATCCAAGTGGCTTGGCGAGCGTAGTGGTCCAACCTACTCACTGAACTCTGCAAATTGGCTACGAGTTGGACACCGCTCGCCCCGTTGCCGATGACAGCTACCTTCTTTCCTTTAGGATCGAAAGACGGATCCCAATCCGAAGAGTGTCGAAGGAACCCTTCATACTCAGAGATGCCTGGATAATCTGGAAGTTTCCACGCATTAAACCTCCCAACTGCGGTAATAACCGCGTCGGCTGTTTGCACAAAAGCGGCAGAGTTGCCTCCGACAGCCTTCACTGTCAAGGACCAGACTCCCTGTTCCCCATCCCATACACAATCCTCGACGCGATGGCCAAATTTGGCGTATCGATAAACGTCATGATTGAGCGCCAAGTCCCGCCAATACTGAAGGATCTCTTTCCCTGAAGCAAATTCGTCGCTCCAGTCTCTCTTTGGGGCGAAGGTCGATTGATAAACATGGGAAGGAATATCACACCGAACTCCGGGGTAAATGTTCTCTGTCCATGTACCGCCCTAGGTCTACGTATCAGCGCAGCACGCAGAAATTAGAAAGGGGTCAGGTTAAGACATACAAAGTCGCTGTTTTTCTCGAAAATTGTTAAGTCGATGCCGGGGACCTTTTTAGGAAGCAAAACACCCGCCAATACTCCAGCGAGCCCTCCCCCAATTACTGCCACGCGCAATGGGCGAGCATCGTCAATAAATCTGTCGATTAGGGTGGCACTCGTCGTCTGAATCGGCTTTTGGCCGGTGGTAGGCAATGTTTTCTGAGGAGCAGTCTCATTCTCCGCTGAGACGACGGCACCAAGTACTTGGGCTAGCCCATCGCCCTTTTCGTTATCCGGCTTAGGAAAAGGCGATGGTCGCGCATCAGGGGTGATGGGAGTGGGAAGAGTGGCTGCTGCCGCCATCGTCGTAGGGGTAAACGTTTGTGCCTCTCACGATTGATAGCTGCATCAATATACGAGCAGAGGAAGCCATAAACTTATAGCGTTGATTGTGTATCTACTTCTTCGCCGGCGGTAGTTGCGGCCGCCGATGGCGGCGAGTAGCATATCATATTGGGAACAAGCACGCAACCGCCCCGCGCCATTGCACCACGCCTCGGAACTGGAGACCGGACTACAGCCCCCTTAGTCTTAAGATTGCTTGTCATGTCGAAGACAAATCATGAATTAACACTCTCGGAATTACTATTACTTTACGATATAAAAAAATGGGTATTACCAGGGACTTCGAAGTTAGCAAGATGATATCGCAAAGAGCCAATCAATAGTACATGTATTATGTACCAGGCCGGGGACCGACCTCCTCATAGCTGGGCTCTTTCGGATATATTATCTCCACTTAAGGATAAACCAGGGAATGCAACCGTACTATCAACCACGTGGAGAGCGATATACAAGACGACACGCTCCTAGCAAAGGACTCTACTATATTGACCACCCTTGGTCCCCGCGTTCGCGATCTGGCCTGTAACGCTTCCTTCCTCTTTTCCTCTTTGTCCTCTAGCTCGCCCCGGCACCTAGCCATCCTCGTACGGACCTGTGCACAAGCAGCAACCGCGATCACACCCAGTGCACCCATTATTACCTCGCCCGCTACAGCCCCAGCTACCTGCGGCGTAAATGCCGTTCTCGATTGTAGTTCCTATTACGGCACCAATTTGGCGGACGCAGGAGTTACTCCAGTTCCCCGTTTCCCATGCATTATAGGTGCTGAGATGAAATGTCCTGACGTCACTACCCGTGACACAGATTCCGGCCAGGTAGCTCAGTGGTAGAGCGAAGGATTGCAGTCTGCATTGCAAAATATCCTTAGGTCACGTGTTCGATCCACGTTCGGGCCTCGGTTCTTAATTTCCTTTTTTCCTGAACAAGTCCTTTTTGGCACTTCTATCTATCCAGCTACTTAAGTTGCATTGGTGCGGTGTGAGACTCGCCAGCACACTTGTACAATTCGCCTTTTTTTTGTCAATATTTGATAAAACCAGGATGGCCGCCTAACCTGATACTTTAGTTCGAGACGTGGACACTTCGCCGTCTTAATTAAGCTCAACCTGTCCAAGTGGAGCGGGTCATGCGGTGTTTCACGGGTTTATAACAGTGAACAAGGCGTAAAGAAGCGGCCAGCCGTACGCCGTCGGTGTAATGTGCTTCTCATATGCTAATTGTATTGAAACTTCTACCCCGCTGATGTGATAGCCATCCCATCAAACTTCTATTTCGCCTCATGATGTAAATGGATACGTTTATCGCAACTTCTACCTTCCTATGCTCCTTGTCAATCCCCAAAACTCCACCCCCGGCCTATGCTACCTGACTATTCCCGAACCAATAACTCGCGTAGGTGATGTATCACCTGTGAACCCGATCATTAGAAGTCCCAGAGCGTGCCGAATGCGTTTAATCCAGCTAAGTTGATTTGTTAGCAACGGTCGGTCTGTCACAATAAACTAGGATGGTAATGAGCCTACCTGCTCGGCAACCCTGCATCATCTCATCATTGCCTTTCATATTTGAAGTAATGAAGATGACCTCCGCTCCAAAACTGTCCCACGTTTCTTTGAGAAGCTGCATTGTGTCTGGCCGGCCTCCCCGTTTTTTCGAGTCCCAAAGAATCATTCGCTCCGGCTCGATATTATTGTAGATTAACCCCGTTATCGTCGGCCCAAACGTCTTCTCTTGGTCAGAGCCAATCCAAATAAGAAACCTGCTATAGCGTTAGAAAAACGAGTCGTCACGACGCGCTAGAAAGGTACGAACCAGTCCCGACTCTGGATGCAGGTAGACAACGCCGCACCAATACCTGTTCCAGTGCAGATCCGTATGCCTCGTTTGAACATTGCTGAAGCATGACCGACGCCAGCTGCAGTATGTTAGTAGGGAGTAAGATCATAGGCCAAGGGACCAACGCACCGAACTTCAGCTCTCGGGTCCACACCGTCTTGGGGGGGTCCGAAACCAGCGCCTTAGTGAAATCGCCTTGCACGCCACAGATCATGTAATGATGTGGGGAATGGCGCCCCTCGCTGATGATCCCAAAGGCATGGTACTCCATGATCGACGTCCGGCTGATCCTGCCAAGGAGACCTTGTTGCATCCCGCGCTCGAAACGGAGGATGGCGACTTTCGGTGAAGGCTAACAAGACATGTTAACACCATCCAGTCAAGGGATAGGAAGGACACTTACGATTTCGACTTCCACAGGAACCTCTCGCAGGGTCAACCAAGGTATCAGGACACTATTCATTGTCTCATTGTCAGTAATCAATCACAGGAGAGTAAATGTTGGGCAACGTACAAGATTGTCATGAACACCGCGAACCAAAGCTCCTGAGTGCTGAGCAGAGAGTTCGCGGCAGCCCTCCACTCGCCGGCCTTGACATCATAGAAGTTTCCTAATATCACGAATGCCCAAGTAGCCTGTACTTCATTAGCATAAGCCTAGAGGTAGAGCAAGAGGTGGTACCTACCGCCAAGCCCAGCCATCCGATGAAGCGATGGTGGCTCTCAAACATGTTGTGGTAGTTACTAATGACAATATTAGCGGACGCTATAATACCTGATAGAATGGACAGAGCACTCACTTGCGAACCCATGGGAAGGCACTCAGGATGGAAATGAGGACGAAGACATTCGTTATCACTCCTGTGGCGATCACAGCGACGTGCTGAATGGAGTGATTGACTATGATGTCCACACACTTGAACACCAACCACCTATTCTCTTGTTAGTACTCGCCGTAGCTTTGGCTGGAGGTATTGACAAACAGGGGTGGGACGGAGGGAGGGGGAGGTCTTCTTACGCAGCGCCGGAGAGAGCACATCCCGAATGAATGCCTCCCACGTGCTGTAGAGCTGAGGTTGCTCCTAGCTTGATGCAGACCGGGGCCCACTAATAGACAGTCAGTTAGCATTCGTCATGAAGGAGGAAGATGCATCAGACGTACACTCCGCAGCCCATATATACAAAGGAGGTACAGGAATCTCAGGAACAACTCGTTCCGGAACAGCACAGCGCAGAGCAGGTTCCCAAGAACCAAGGCACCGAGGTGGTTCTCCGCGTATGGAAACCGGCCGAGGGCAGCCATGATTATCCCAGCCAGGTTGAGTAGCGTAACGAACGTGAAGAACTTCCGGTATGTGTTGAACCACAGGTTAAACAGAATCCACTTCCCAATCTTTGGCTTCGGTGCCGACGGCTTCTTCCCGGCTGGACCAGAGGGCGGATCGTTCCGGACCTTCCACCCCTGGGGCCACGACAGATCCAGCTGAGGCACGTTCGAGAAGGGGGTAAGGCCGTTGTGTATTGGTGATACAGGCGAAAGGACGGTCTCGATGTGTTCGACGTATGACTTCCGGTCCACCTTTGCGAGATGTGGTATCACCGGCAGATTCCTCGAAGTGTCGACCATCCCCTTCTCTGCATCGTCGAAGTCCCTGTCCCTGGCTGCGGGCGGGGTAGCCCCGCCGAACAACCGTGAAGAATGCATGTTGAGCTCTCGAGATGGAGATTGACTTGAGGTGGAAGGACAGGGTGAGAAGATAGGGTGGGTGTGGTGCTGATAGTAAAGATCGTGAGACTTGTGTCTTTGGCCGTGTGAAATATTCGAAAGTGACAGACGTGCGGACGAACTAGTCCAATTAAGACTTTCGACCGGGGGCTAACAAGAAGAAAGAAAGGATCACCTCCCCACAGGCAGTCGGGACAAACCCCCCACAGATCTTCCAAGGCCCTAGCGTCGTAGCGTTCGGTAGAACCCTCGGACGAATCCGTATAACGCCTCACGGGTTTCCGCGTCACAACTCTCGGTCCAACAACCCTATGAGGGGGGGAGGTGGTCGTATTTGACGCTTAGCAGTGGTACCGAAGAGACGATTGTGAAAGAAAGTGTGGTGGGCAGAGTCCCCGAAAAAGCCGACAAGACCACACAGCTGGGACGAGACATAGGTTTAAAGGGTCTTAGAGGGAGGTCTCCGGCATAGGTGGAAAAGTAGATGTACCGTCGTCTGCCAAGGAGAGAATACCTCCGTGAGCCGGAATAGCCTTTTGAGTGGTGGAGAGACATGGCAGAGAGAGATTTGCCGGTTGCTCATAAACTCCCTCCTCCCCAACTAAGAAGGAGAGGCCTACTAGGGCAATTCCGGGCCGCGATGCTAGCACTTGCCGTGGCCAGGCCCTCGATTCGGCTGTCAGGACCATATTAAACCCCAGATTGTTGTTTTTTTCCCGGCGACTGGCCTGAGCAGCCGGTGCGTGCGGTACATCCAAGGCTCTCTACCATATTCCAATAAGATCTTACTTGTAGATGGCCCCCACACACCTGCCGTGCTGGCAAATATGCATTAATGCGCCGATTATCCATATTAACCCCGGACTCGGCACGTCCACATGGGCAGCGCACGAGAAACCCAGCCGTAAGACGGAATATTTTCCCGCGGTATTTACTACAGCAGGCAAGCGAACCCCACGAACCATCTCTTGTCGAGTGATCGGTCGAGCGGGCCGAATGATTGGGGGCTGGATATCACCACCTTCCTAACTTAACGTCACTAAATATAGGCCGCCTGGTCGATCAACTTGCTCTTGTCTCCAGGTTACAGACTTTGTCTTTCGTCCTCCAAGATGCCACTATCGTCAAGATTTTCCGTTCCCCACGTCACCCTGCTAGAGAAGTGCAACAACAAAAAGGACAGCTTGGCTTGGTGCACTTTAGTATGGCCTGCAGGAACGGCCGACGGGCCGGTTGTGTCATGAGCTCCGTTGGGTGGTATTACTCGAAACTAGTGACCCCGAGTAGGCTTAGCCCGTTCAGCCACACCCCTGTAATAATACTCGTTCAAGGTAGATGATCGCTGTCCCACAGATCTTATTTCCCCCGCCCCCACTGGATCCAATCTTCAGGCGGCGGCGGCGACCCTGCGTTTCTTCTATACAAGGTAATAGAACACACTCTCCTTCGGCTTCCATGGCATTTCATCCCATGGTACGTCGTAAGTCGGCCCCGCCCCCCGCCACCGGATGTGGGCCCGTGGGGACGGGTCGTGGTTTAGCTTTTATACGCCAATGATTGTGAGCTAATTTGTACAAGACGGACCACTGGCAATGCCACCCATCCCCTCTCATGTGCTAGGGCTGGGTTTTCGCAAGGTACAAGTACAGCCTATTTACTTAGGAAATGGGGACTACCCCCGCGGAAATGGCATCATGTCCAGCCGCTTTCCATGTCGCATCCCTGTACCACGACCTGGTCTGTCGGGCCGTCTTCCTCGCCTGCGCACCTCTGTCGGTCCGTTTCTTTTGTTACTACTCTACAGTGGCCTGGGGTGTCGGCCCGTCTCTTCTCTTAACACATTGTACTCCGCCCGCGTTCCCCGGTACTCCGCCATTTCCCCGACTTTTGCTCGGCATACAGACTGAAGATATTTGCCACTTCGCGGGGAAGGTCGTCATCCCGGGGACACGTGAACCCGCCCCCAACCCGCCCGTGGGTATCGAAGGCATGATTCTTTGGCCGAACCACCCACTATGTATATATTAAACCGTAATGCTTATCTGCCCACATGGGAGAGCGGTGGTGTCATTGCGCATTGTGTTGCCTTAAGGCACCCGGGAGCTGTCTTGGCTTCCCCCCCGCCCTTCCCCCCTCCCCCCCTGCCGCACCGGACCGCCAACCTCCGTGCCCTGCTGATGCAGCTCTTGGGAGGGGGGAATCTGTGGAAGAAGGGTAGCATCGAGATGCCCGGACCTGGTTCCGACAGAATGCTTAAAAGATGCACCATTCCCTTGGACGGGGGAGCAATAGATTAAGATGCCGCATCCTTCGACTGCCATACCATCTCCTCAG